ATTATTTCGCACAGATAGATGCACATCAAAGAACATATAAAAGGATAGAATTCTTGCTTAATACATAATAAATAATCTAATAATTGTGTATCAAGAAAAATTTAGAGAAATTAGAAAAATTAGAAAATTATCATTCTCCAATAGAAAAAAACAATTAATACTAATGGCATATAGAGGAACCGAACAAATGACAATCCCTACGATGAGGGATGAAGATAGTCCAGGAGAATGGAGATTTGGCTTGTTTGGCTGCCTTGACGACTGTGGACTATGTAATGAAATATTTTTTTAAAAAAATGTAGCATTAAAAAGAATCTTTGCTCATATATTGATATATTTTTTTCATTTTATACAAATATCTACGTTTAATAAGGCATGACTACGTTTTGCTGCCCGTGTATCACTTATGTAAGTACAACTATACAAAAATTTGGGTACTACTATTCGCACCATAAAATTTATTCGCTCAAAAAAAGGGGTAAAATTGAAATAATATGTGTTGTGAATAGAAAAATCTATGGTGCGAATAGTAGTACTAAGAGTTTTGATAAAAGCACATTTTGCGGATTTGTATGATTTATGAATAACACGTTAATAACTTATAGGGTCGAACTAAAAATAAAATAAATCCAGAATCTGGTTATTGTTTGAATTGTGTAGTTTGGTGTGCGGGTAAGATATCAAATTGATACAGAATATAATAAGCAATAAACAGCAAGATACAGTAATAATAATAATAATAATAATAATTTAATATGGTAGTGTCGCACCTCGTGGGACCGTGGTTCATGGGATATAGGAACCGTAGAGTGATCAGGAGTAAGCGAAACATTCCGGTAAGATCTCTAAGCAAGAAAGGAAAAGAAATTCTTAAATGGCATGTATAAATGACGCTAATTTTACGAATATTAGGGTACTACATGTGGTGACTGTTGTGTTCATTGTTTTTGTCCGTATTGTGGGTTAGTTTCTTTTTTAATCTTAACTTGTGCATATTTAAACCACAAAATTAGCACATATTTAATCACGGGATTAATTTCTTCTATGTAGTCTTGTCCAAGAAGCAAGAGAATTCGTGTGATGATTTCATAGTTGATCAGTGGGCTGGTCCATTTTGCATCCTTGTACTTATATTCGATATTTTTTCCTCATTTGTAATAAATCAAATATTTGACGACACATTTTTTGGCAAAATTTGAGCACATGAAATTTTAAGCCGTTTTTTTTTTTTTTGTATAATACAGTACAACCTATTCAGCATTGCTTTGAGAGTTTAGATGTAATAATTACGTATTTAACAACGCAAAGTATCCGAGTTTGGTGTTTAATCTTCGGAAAGGCGTAATATCATGTACTAAACGCCAACAGATATTTTAACATTTCATGTTCATAAATTGCGATTATATAACAAATATTAAACTGAGACAAGAATAGTATTCTAAATATGCATAGAATCTTAACAGATTCGTTAGGACCAAAAAAAAGTACCAATATAAATAGATTAAGAATTTCTGTTTACTTGGAAATCATTTTAAGCATTTATTAAAAATCGAGCACACTTTCAAAAAAAAAGAAAAATTGGATAATGAAACATAAGTCTTTTATTCTGTCCACACGTGCAATTAAACTTTATTCGCGTAAAGATTAAGCAACTATGTATTTCTCGGATTTATTATAACTTAATAATCATTTATAATAATTATCTTAAATAATTTGGCGTTTTTTAAGCTTGCATTTTTAATTCGGCCATTCTCTAAATTAGTTTTTTTACTTTTTTTAATTTCGTCTTTCTAAAATTATCTGCAAAGAATATTTGATATATTTTTTGCAACCCGATGAAAACACCTTTAGAAGGATTTAAGGATGGTGCGGCCTACTAACCAATATGTTCTTACTTGCAAATATCCATCTTTTTATAATGGATCCTCAACAACATACGCAAAATATTCTGAGAATCTTTGCGTTTGTGATTTTCGATTAAATCTTAGAGGATGCGCAGAAGAAAATTTGCTCGTGACCATAAACCTGTCGCTCTTTGTTTATTCCACGTTCATTACTATAACCACCATATTGATTATTTTTTGAAAATTAAAAATTATTCAATTCTAATTCCCAGACTTAAAAGTTGTAAATTTTTTTACAAGATTCGCTCATTTTATATTATCGAAGGATCAATATTATTATATAATTTTTGTAAGTTTTTTTCTATTTCCAAAAAAAAAAAGGAAAGAAAAAATAATAATAAATTATTATTGTTTATGGATAGTTCGTGCAATCCATTCACTTTGCCTTCTGACGGGTGTATATTCAAATACAGTCGAAGCTGAAAGTAAGCATATTTAACTATATATTTCAATATTTTTATATCTCTATTTTGACTATCTGCTATTTGATTATTACTGGCGTGAATACAGTTTGTCACACCCTATCTATAGTTCTTCCTGGAATTCTATGCATATTCTATCCATTATGTATACTAAATGCTAGTTCAATTGGAGATGATATATTTGTATTAATTGTCTTCATTATAAGGCGAACGATGAACAAAAATATTATAGTTTATATCGTAATTTCTTTGTTCACTTTGCTACTTGTAATTATTTTACCTCTTTCATTCCTTTGTGGATACTACGCTGATATCGGAAGAGTGGATAAGGCTATCATTTTATTTATGATACATTATTTGGTTTGGTCCGTTTGGACCTTTTGTTTTTTATTTCTGGTAACCGAAAGATTTTTTTTTTTTTTGTAGACGTTCTATGTATTAAGGAAACGCGCACATACTTATATATAATTTATTTAAATTAATTAAGATACTTTACATTTGGCATAGATACATAATGATAATAATATATAGCATTCAACAAGAAAAACGATACAATTTTAATGATGAGAATCTTAATTTCAAATTGGATCGACTTAAATCAGGTGCTGGAAACGTGAGTAAGAAAAACCTTTACATACTGATACATATATGTACGTACGTACATGATGATTCTGGATTTTAATTATGCATCTTGTACACATAGCTGTCACGATCGATGTTTGTTGTTGTGTTAGTGGCAGTTTTCTATTCTACCTTGTGCATAAGTTATGGGCTGTTTCACAAAACCAAAACAACATTTATACATTCGATTAATATGATATACATTTTGGTCTGGAACGTCGCGATTCCTGTTGTTCTCCATATTAGTCAAATTATTCATGTATTCAAGTATATACTGTAGTATTTCCTACATTTTATTTGTTTTATTTGTGTTTAATTTTTTGAATCTGTTTAAAATATTGACTTTCAAACATTCTCAAGCTCCTTTAAAGTGATTTGCAGGCGTCCCAATTTCTGTTATGGTGTTTCTGGTGATCTAGTTGTGCCCTTGGTAGCGTCTCCAATTATTTCAAGTTTCGAAATAATTCAAAATGAAAAAGGTATTTCAAATTTTTCAGTTAAAAAAATATCAAATTATAAAGTTACTTTAATATATACTGAAAAAAAAAAAATCATTCTTATTATAATTTAGATAGGATATTACCACCATGTTATGTAAATTATGTATATGATGATAATTTTTTTTTATGTAAAAATTCTTCAAGCAACCATATTAATAATGACAGCATCAAAAATGTTAAAAATATTAAAGAAACAAAACATTTCGAAAGAATGAAAGAGTTCCGAAATGATCAAGTTACCGAATCAAGCTCCCCCAAAAGACCGTGTATTAGATCGTTATCATCTAATATCTCGGTATTTACTTGCAAAGAAGAAAATTCAAAGGAGAGGAATGCTAAAAAAGATTGGTTAATCGAGGCACCTAAAAAAGCACTCATTCGGAATAGTTTTTTATCTCAAAATATTTGCACGTGACCTTTCTCGGTCCCTCAATGTTAATATTCAATATTATTAATAATTATAATGATAATAAATCAACTTATTTATTTAATCATCATCATTGATGAATATTCTTGAGTAGCAGTAATCACTGATACAAAAAATATCTTGATCGAACACTCTGAATCATTGAATAAAAAAAGACCGACTCTTTATTTAATAATGCATTGCTTTACAAAAAAACCCTTTCTAAACAATTACCTTTTTATTGATCGAACCAAGGATTATTACGTTAATAACGTTGAATGATTATATTTGCTTAAAATGAACTTTTTAATAATTAACTTTATACTTTCCACAACAATTGTGGTTAGTTTTGCACAATTCGGTCCTCCAGGCATGGGCAGTCCGGATATGGGTGGCCCAGGATTTGGAGGTGGTGGAAATCCGAAAGATGGTAATAAAGGCCTTGATCCATCAGGTCTCCTGGGAGGAAATCTAAAAGGTGGTAATCAAGGCTTCGATCCATCAAGTCTTTTAGGTAATGGTGGTGGTGGTAATCAAGGCTTCGATCCATCAAGTCTTTTAGGTAATGGTGGTGGTGGTAATCAAGGTTTTGATCCCTCAAGTTTATTAAGTGGTCAGAATAAACAGCCAAAATCCAGTTCTCCAAACAGTAATGCGTCAAAAAGTCCTTCAGGAAATGTTGTTCCGGGAAACCCAGTTCTAGGAAACACTGTTCCATTATCAAGTCAAGGCAAGGCTCCTACTTCTAATTCTGTACCATCATCTGGAAGTCCAAATGCCGCTCCATCAAAAGGATCAAAATGTAAACTAATTTGCAGTTAATGTTATAAGCTAACACAAATTTTTGTTTATAATATCATTAACATATGGCACAAATCTATTCTATATAACCAAAGCAGCACCGGATATTCGCAAAATACCTTGGCAAGAAAAGGAAAAGGCATGCATTTTGGTCAGGTAGATATAAATTCAAATTTTATTATATTATATATATATATATTTCTGAAAACAGAATGAGCCGTGCTAACTTGAACACAATCGCAGTGGACCCCCTAACAACACTATCATAGAACCAGAGAGTAAACATCGTATATCATGGAATCAGTCACCTTGTCAAATGAGCGCAAGAGTTGTTGGTATGTTTCATGTTTTCTTATATAACAACTTACAAGCAGTACCGGATGAAAAGGCA